ATCCAAGTCAGGACTGCAGCTAAATATAACTGAGACAGGTTGGGTCACTGATGCTACAATGGAAGGGCCAACTTGTGAATAATTTGTCCAGCAGGATTTAAAGCATAAACATGTCCATTGTGTTGTTTTGTTTTCCAAGCTATTTAATTTACTTCCCCGCAGTAAGTTTTCACGGTGAGGACTGATGAGTCGCTCTGGTCTGTTGAAGGATCTAAAACCAAAATGTATTTCATTTATTTATATGTAATGCTGTATTCTGTTGCTTTTTAAATGTCACCAGTTCACGTCTCTGCCAAAATGTTTTGTATATTTGCATTTTTCCCTCTTCATGACAAGTGTTTTTCTTTCCTGGAATTAACTGAGTCCAATGCAGATTAGAAGTAAGGAGAGTTTTAAAGTCTTACAGTCTAAAGGTTGGTCTCTGTATGTAGCCCTATGACAACACAGGGATTTTCCTTAACTCAAGTACGTACTTGGTAATTACTCACCATTTTCCATACTGTGTATTGACTCATGGAGGTGACCTGGCCTGAAAAAGGTTTCCACCATTATTTATCTGTCTCGCATTAAGAGTATATATATATATATATATATATATATATATATAACAAATGGTAGATTTCTCCTCCTGTCCTTCCAGTTTGCAGCACTACCCAGTGAATTCTGTCACACCTCCACAATAAAAAAACATGTCTAAGCCGAAAAAATTAAAACTGGTCCTGTTATGTCCGAATAAAAGGATATTTGTAAAAACAAAAATAAAAAAACAAGCTCTTTTAGTGACACCTCAGGTGCCCAACAACACCTCTCATCTTAATTAGTGTTTTGGCCCTCCTTCCTCTGTAAACTATGTCACAAAGAGCTCAGGGGTGATATAAACAGACAGGGCCCTGTACAGACATTTATGAATGTCTAATGAGTCCGTCAGTTTGACAGCACAGCATCCCGGGGGAACTGGGGATCACAGAGGACTGTTCTTGGATTGCAAACGCCATCTGTTGTTGCATCTGACTGAGTGTGTGTGGGAGGGGTTGGGGGTGGTGGTGGTGGTGGTGGTGTGCAAGGTAGCTAATGAACAATCACACCTGTTTGTTGTTTTGACCAACAAAAAAATAAAAAATGAAAACAAGCTGACATCACGTGTCACACTTTACTCATTTCCTTATTTTTTCCACAAATCGAACCGGTCTTTTTTATATATGTCAAATGTCACCAAATTATAAATGATTTACCATGCACACCTCCAGAGCCAGTGGAGCATATTAAGGCTTCAATAATTTATGCTAGATACCGTTAGTCGCCAACACGATTTTTACACATCAGGTGAGGCAATCAAAGTGAAAATGATGTATACCAACCTTGGTCTGCACTTCAGGATTAAATAAGTGTCCCCTGGGGGAGACTCGTGGAAGTGGAGTTACGGAACTCACGTTATATGAAAGGCTGTTGCATGCTACACATCGACATCCTCCCCAGAGCTCTTCACACTAAAAGGTTTTTTTTTTTTTTTTTTTTTTTTTTTTTTTTTTTTTACCCTCTTTCAACATGTGGAAAAAAAGCTATCAGGCTCAGAATACATATTTTATAGATTCAGCCGTGTCTCCCTCACCACATCGCCTTCCATTGAGATTTTAATCAGCTCATGTGACTGGTGGCATGTAAACATCACATTATATATCATCGTATGCACATCTGTGACTAGTATCTTCCAAGCAGGTCAACTGAGGAGAAAAAGAGACCAAACTGCGTCACATATTTAGACATTATTTTACTAAACCTACATTGTCTGCTTATGGTATAAGCACCGTTCAAAACAACATGTTATTCTAAAGGTGACTAACACTGCAAATGACACACGGATGTGAGATTTCATTGAACTGTTTATTTTTTGCTCATCTGCTTCTTTGTGTTTATTTAACTATATTTAACTTAAACCAAACAAATGTCAGTTTTGGACTTTCTATTTTTAAGCACAGTCATGCCATAAGCCATAGTGTTCCAGACAAATTCAGCCTCAAGGAGTGTGAAGAGTCAGTACTACAGGGCATCCTTCAATGTTTGGTTCTCTCTGGACTGCACTACGTAAGTCATGTAAATCCTGTGACTCTAAACTTTACAGTTACCTGACCTGTAATCAGCAAACTGGGTTTTATTCATGTTCAACATTTACTGCTGTTTGTTTAAAGGTAAAGTGTTCACACATTCACTAAACACACCATGAATCATACCAATGAAATCCCCCTTCCCTGTAACCATATGTGAAAAACCACAGCTTCTTGTTTTTTTTAAATGTTTTTAAGACACTTAGATCCAGTGGGTTACAGTATTACAACAAAAATTATGACAGATGTGGTTAAAACCCAAAGAATTACAAAGTAGGGTCGGGGGGAGGGTCAGGATCAGGTCATAGAGCGGAGCCATGGGAGAATGCAGGATGTCATTGAGAGGTCATTTTAAGACAGGATGTAGAAATAGAAATAATAATAATAATAATGTTGTTATTATTATTATTGGTGCATTTAAGTGCAGCAGAAACCAAAGTTACAGAGTGTAATAGTTGCCTCTGTGCTCAGCTGTTTTGTTTTTGCTGGTGTTAACTTCCCTGCTGCTCACTGTTGTGGCTCCTTGTCCGTGAACATGTACTCTTTCTGGTACAGTTTCTGGTCGACTTCCTCTAAAGGTGTGAAGGGAAGCTGCCTCTGCCCCATGATTCCAGTGTGTGACTTGTAAAAATCAATCATATGATAAGACACTTCCTCTTGGTTTCAGAAAGCACTTTTTTGCCCAGAAACAGTGTGTGTGTGTGTGTGTGGGTGGGGGGTGGTAACTTGTTTACAGCTCACTCACCGCTCACCAGAAGAAAAGACATCGCACCACAACTTGGCAGAGTGAAAGTGCGCAGCATTCTGCCGGTGAGTTCTCGGGGTTTAAAAATACAGTCAGCGAGCAGCCTGAAGCTCCGCGGCTCGGTCTTGAGGTACAACTGCTTTTAGGCTTTGAAGCATCGGTATCTGTGGCAATCGGCCCAGGGTATGAACCGGGTTAAACTGAATCTCCATAAAATGCTAATCCAGCCCTGTGTGTGTGTCCTCAGATTAAACAGTGTGGAAAGTGGAGTCATTTAAAAATAAATAAATGAAGCAGGAGTGAGTCAATGTTTTCAGGATCTTTCTCTATCACTATAATAGAAATGTTTTTTTAAATGTATATATATTATTCACAGGGGGTACTGTGTGGGACACATTAATACTAAAATGTTAAATTATGTGTTTCTGATACAGGAAGTTCCTCAGGGTACAGAGTCAGGAGTCAACGTCTAACCCTGCCCTGCAGCTCGGCTCTGTTGATCTGGAAAGGGCAACTTGGATGAAGGGTAAAGAATCCATCTACATAAACACAGGCAACAAGAATGAATATGTAGGAAACACATTAAGGCTGGTGGCTATGTGAACAACACACAAAACTCACAAACCCAAGCTGCGGAACGTAAAAACAACAACACTGCACAATAGAGTACAGACACACACCCATAACACCCACATGGCACCCACACACATAAAGAGTCTCACACATCACAGCATGAGAGTGGGGGGATGCTGGCTTCACTTCGCCTGGATCTTATGCTTCTATTCAGCAGCTAATTCTCCAGTGCTGGGATTTTAAAGAGCCTGACCAGCCACCTGCAACCAGGCTGAGAGGAGGAGACGAGGGAGGAGGGGAGAGTAGGTGGACAGGAGAGGAGGAGTAAGAGGAGGAGGAGGAGGCAACGCTGAAAGACTGACATCACCTTCCCTGAAATGTCACCATTATCTCAAGCCTTAGCTTAGCCGTCTAAAAGGGTGACATCATCTCTTGTCTTCGCCCCTCCTCCCCCTGTTCTCTGGCGGGCTTGTGTGTGCAGTGAGGGAGTGTGTTTGTTTGTGTGCATGTAGCCCAGCGAGAGTGTGCGTGTGCGTGTGCGTGCGCAGGAGAAAAGCCTTATCAAAAGAGACACAACACAAGCATGAGTGGATGTTTGTCTGCGCCGCTGCTTTCATACCATTGTACCAGTGGAAAGTAAAAGCTGCTCCACTGACACTTGTAAACAGGCTTTTTGCTTCATTTGGTCTGAATCCAGATCTGTTTCTTTGTAGTGCTGAGAAAAAAAAGATATTTGTTGGCTCACTCTTTGTGTTACTGTTCAACACAGCTACACTATTGTTATCCATAATAAACAAGTTATCCTGAAACGTGAGGTCATCTACACGAACGTCCTGATTTGGTCATAGCTAGGACTCGGATGAAGAGAGATAGACGTGTCATATAAGGACAGTAACCGTTTCTCTGATCTGAGGTTTATATTCAAACACGCTGACACGTCTTCTTGTCCTGTTCACTGTCCCTGTAGTACACGGCATAATAAATGTCCTTGTGCCACTGTAGATGGTTCTACCGTTGTCTCCTCTCTGGTGGAATCAGGCTTTGTCTCTCTGTTGGCTCTACACAGGCTCTGCAGCAATGACACAAATCAAACAAATATATTGGATATCTACAAAGTGTTTTTGTACAAATGAGATGCACGCTGTTATGGTGGGAGTCGAGGACAGACCAGGACACTTCTTCATCCTGGAGTGAATCTAATTCATTAGCCATGCTTCTTTTCAAAGTGAGTAGAGTCAGTTAGGGAGCGTGAACACTTTCTTCTTTTCTTCATATGTACACACACACACACACACACATAATACAGTTTAGGACGGTGGTTTCCAAACAGAGTGTTTGCAGGGGAGCGGGGGAGACTGGACAAAAATTTAAGGAACCATTGCCTTTGTAGTTACCAATTTAAGACAGGATGACAAACAAAACCATGTGACGTCTGCAGTCTGATTTTGGCCACAGATTTTTATTTCCCATTTCTCCGTCTTCCCATATCTGTAGACTACTCTCTCTCTCTCTTTTTCAAAACCTTGTTTACAAGTCACCGCCTCGCCCAGATATAAACAAACCATTTAAACAACTTATCCCCCATCTCTTCGTGCCCTGGTCCAGTCTTCAGTGAGGTCTCAGTGGACCAGCGTGAGGACTGGCCTGTGTCGTGTTATCACACCATCTGATGCCCTGGGCAGCTGTCACAAACCACCAGGGCCTGCCACCTCTGCTATCGCCGCCATTTGTAAGTGTCCCAGTGCTTGCTCAATACCTTGACTGAATGGTGGTCCATGAATTGTTAATTTAGCCTGAGTAAAAGGAGCAGTGGTGACAAGTACCAGTGTCATCTCAACTCAATGGCCTCAGTTTGAAGAGAGAGAGATCGTATCTCAGAACTCAGTGACGCAGGTGTAATTGGATCACGTGTGGTTTTAAATGAGTGGCTCGGCTTTATACAAGTTAAATTTAAATGTATGGAGGTGTTTAATTAGCATCTAAATAACGTATTATACTTTGTAAAAAATAAAGTTGTCTGACATATCCTTCACTGCCTGAAAAGTCCTGCGTCTACACGAAAACAATGTTTTCGCTGTTGTTTTCATCTTGTTTTTCCACCTGTAATGAAAACAAAAGCAAGACGTGGCTGAGAAGTTTTAAGTTACTGCAGATGAAAAAAAAAATAACGTCACATATTCAGGCATCTGTGACAGGTGTACCGCATGACCTGCACCTTCCTGTCAGCGTTAGTCATCTGGTCAACAACATCAGCGCACCATTCAGAGAACACGTAAAGGAGAGCACAGCCATATTTGGACTTTACAGAGACGTAGACCAACCCTGGTGAAGAAAACAAACGACAATGTGATGAAACAAGAGGCGGCCTGTCTTTGTTTTCACTGGGTCAACACAACAGTGTCAGTGTGGTCTAATGAAACACGCTTTTGGATTGTGTTTATAATGGTTTATAATGATGAACATACTGTATATCAACATCCACTGAGGGACATCACTGGTGTAGCTGAACCTGTCAGACTTACACATCTAAGATCAAGGAGCAGGCAGGGCCAATCAGGGAAATTAAGGAGCAAAATGGCAAACCATACACAAAGTATGGACAGTGAACACAGACCACCATGGCACGACAACCCAACTCTGAACAATGAACTAACAAGGACAGAGTGAGGGAGAGAAGTATATATACCCAGGACACCAGGTGACACCAGTGAGACTAATAAACCAAACACAGGCCTAACAAAACTAGACACAACAAAATAAATGGCTACGGCAGGGGTGGGCTAAATGTTCGGTTCACGGGTCAAATTAGGTTCAAGATTTGTGTTGAGTTGGTTGGATGTAAATGCTGGGTGAAATAATTGTAATAAAATGTACAAAAACAAATTCTAAACTTTCAAAGATATTTTGGCACATTTGATATCATAATTCTTTGTTTATTCTTGATACCTTTTCAAATAAAATTCATCACATCAAAATGATAAGTGTTATGTTAAACTCGTCAAAGATGTTGGTGACGTCTCAGTTGTGTCTAAACATGTGATACTCGTATAACAACAGCTGATATTAGGCTTTTAAAAACATTTGTAGGATATTACAAATGATGCAACGCGCTGTAGGGGGTGTATCTCATTTCTCAGGGGTAGTTTTCTTACACTACTGCTTCAGGCTGGGTACTAAAGGGCGAGGGGTAAAGGATGGGCTCCTGAAAAAGAAATGACTGAAGTTTTTATCATAATTCATCCACAATGTAATTGAAGTGTCGTATCCCAGAGCAAGAGCTTGACAACCACAGAGATTCAGCTGAAACACTGCTGGACAAGTGTTCTGGCTAACGCTGCTGCACTCGTTCCCATGTTCCAAACCCTGGGACGACTGCATCAACCTGTCATGGGTCATTAAGGACAAATGACTCTGAAACCTAATTAGTCCTGAGATTGTTTGTCTTAAGGAACAGCAACAGGATTTGAATCATTTTCCTTTAAAATATGAGGGGCAAATTGAGTGACTTAAATCCCCACTGTGTGTAATTTAGGGTAAGTGATTTGCAAGACAGGAAGAGGAAAGACAAAGGTGGATTTCATAATTTATAAAAAGTTATCTCCACTGTTGAAAACAAACCTCTTCATCTTTACCATTAGAGACGACCCGTCGCCCTAAAGTGTTATTATAAACCAATCCTGTGGGGCCTTATCTTCAAACTGTCAATTTCCACAGCATTTGAGGAGCTATGTGAAAATGTAAATGGCTCCTTTGTTACACAGTCAGTCTTATCTCACTGGCTATTTACCAGTCAAACCTGTCTTTAATGACCTGCTCTTTTTATGCTTTTACTGCAGGACTCATTTATCCCACACCCTGACCTTTAATCTTTACTCCCAGGGCCTTTATTGTCTATCATTTGGAGCAACGGGCCTCTTTTCAGAGCAGCTCCTTAGGAGGCATGTGAGATTTTTCTCCTTGTGCATTTTAACTTGTTTGCTGAAGCTGTGATGCAGGGCCCCTGCTGCTTCTCACCTCCATTGTAATGCAGCAGGCCAGGTTTATAATCCACTCCATGGCTGGGCCACTTCACACCTCAGTGAGCACCGTGGACCCCCGCTGTGTTTGGAAGGGTTTCAGTGACCACTCCTACCAGGACACACACAAACGCACACACACGAACACACACCTGCTACCCAAGTCAAATAAGTGCCTCCCTCCCTCTCCGTCCCTCCCTCAGGCGTTCTGCTGTCCGATCTCTTTGTCTTGCAGGTGTCCACCAAAGAAGTCAAAAGGTGAACAAACAAGAGAAACACAAGCGAGGCACAGCCATTACTCAGAGAGGTGATGTCAACAATATTTTGACCTTTGAAGCCTGATGCTGCAGGAATGTGGACTTAATGACCATCCAGGGAAAAATAAATATCGCAGGCATTTTTAAAGAAACAGATGGACCAAGGTTCCTACACCACATTAGCGGGGTATAAGGGGAGTAACCCATAAGATGAAAGCATTCAGTCTGCAGGGTGGGACTGTAGGGTGGGATACGTGGGCCGGAATGGCAGTCCGCTGAGTTTCAATAACTCCCCGTCCCTCATAAAAGAGCAACTTCTAAAAATAGAGCAAATGATGAAACCCCCAAAAATGTCGTTGCAG